CAAACTGAGGCAGGTCGTGATCATCCTGGCGATTCAGTTCCTGCTGGAGGCAAAGGTCCGGAACCCCGAGAAGGTAAAGGACATGGGGCAAAGGACGGGAGAGGACCGCAGCCGAGGGAATTGGAGGTGACGAGGGATGAGGCAAGGGCGGCAACGAGAGCGGGCTTCAGGTCAATGGAGCTCCACATGGTTTGGAACCCGGCAACGAAGACGTGGATTCCAGAAGGAAACCTACCAGCTGGCCTGCAATATGATGAGGAGGAACTCGTGCCGGACTATGACGACGGCATGATTGATATTCAAGCGGCCATGGAGAAGCAACTCATGCTGGCGTGCCGGATGATTCGAGGCATGGAGCAAGAACGGGATCATCTTAAGGGGAAGATGGCGGAGCAGGGCAGGTTGCTGGAGAGGAGGAACAGCACGATCAATCAGCTGTTGGAGCAGGTCCGGGAAACTCAGGGTCAACTAGGGAAGCCCAGGATCAGTTGGCGGACTGGAGATCATGGTGGGGTCGCTGGGAGTGGGATGGAACCCGGTGGAGGAGGCTTGAGGAGGAAGAGGAGGAGATCTTCCAGACACCTGCAGAACCGGGTGGAGGACATGGAAAAGGGGAACGGCGAGATCGGACCAGGTCCCCACATCCACCTCCGCACCCTCCGAGGCCAAGGACGCCAGAACAGCGAAGGACCCCAGGAGGGACGGAAGTCCCGAGGGGGACGCCGCCCCGCTCTGAGAGGGGAAAGGGTGGTCTTCGTCTAGAAGGAGGAGGAGGTAACTCTAGAAGGGAGGAGCCGAGAGAAGGAGAGCTATACACCTGGACCAAGGACTATGAGTCGGGTGGCCTGAAGATGGTACCGGCGCCGATGACCAGAAATGAGTGGGCGCTGACGTGGGAACGGGCAGATGCAATGGTGAGTGAAGCTCCGGCACCGCCTCCGGGATTGGAGGCCAGGGCCGACTTGGACCCGGAGGTGGTGGTGAGCGAGAAGACTGGGGACGTTAAGGGGATCATGGATGTCTGGCCGGAGGATGTGAAGGCAATGTTAGCAGCGGGACAGTTTCGGGAAGAGGCGATCAGAGCTGCGGAGTTGCCAAAGCTGCCGGAATTGGGGGCAAAGGAAGCTGGGCCGCTGGCAGCGGGAGACTGGTTGGCGGAAATCAAGCCGATCATGATGGACCTCAGTACCAGCGCGGCGGTCTGGTGGGAACACATCATGAACCATGCGGAGAGGGCCTATCAGAAATGGCTGGACATGCGGCCGGTGGATCGGCTGAATGTGGCACCGGAGGAACCCGGGTGGTTGGGGAAGTACCCGTTTTCTCGGGTGGAGCAACGTGGAGCTGGGCTTCTGCTCCGGGCGTTGCCTCAGGGACTGAGACAGGAGGTGGTGTCAAGAAGGACGTTGTCAGCGGCAGGAATGGTCTTCAAGGTGCTCACAATGTATCAGCCAGGGGCCTCCTCAACTACTTGGTGGAGCCAAAGGTTAATGGAAACACGGTGCCGGCGGAGGTCTTGGCGGCAGTGTGGCAATGGCGGAGGTGGTACATTCGTACAATGGAGCTGAAGCTGGCGATGCCGGATCCCTCGCTGCTGCTGAGAGCGTTGGATAGCATGACCAACGGGATCGCAAAGGAAGGAAGCCAGGTCCACTTCAGGCTAAGTCTCTTGAGAAACAGCCTGGGGGTGGATGTCACACCAACGCAAGACGGCATCATCCAGCTGGCGGAGTTCATCCAAGCGGAGGTGGAAGCGATGGTGGCCTCAAAGGCGGACGAGAAGGTGGTGAAGGTCAAAAGCATGAAGCCGACAGAGCAGTCTGGGCAGCGCAGGGAGGGAGAGAAGAAGCTCTGCGTGTACTTTGCAGGAGAACGAGGATGCCGGATGGGCCGGAACTGCAACTATAGCCATGACTGGTCGGTGGTGGAGAAGAAAGCAGATCGGTGCTGGATCTGTGGGTCGCTACAGCACCGAAAGGGGGAATGCCCGGTGAAGCATGAGGCGGCCGGCAGGACTGGGTTCAGACAGCAGCAGGCGCAGGGCGAGTCGCAGCAGCAGAACCAGTCGCAGCAGCCAGTCAAACCGAAGGTTGCAGCGGAAAAGGGGGTCGCAGAGGACTCGAAGGAGGCGTCTGGGTCTGGGGGAGCTGGACTGCAAGGTCAAAATGTCCAGGAGCTGCTGACGGAAGCGACAGGGCTGTTGAAGTCGCTGAGCATAGTCAAGGTCATCAGAGTTCGGTCGGTGAAAGTGGAAGAGGAGTTCTATGGCCTGCTGGATGGAGGAGCCACCCATGCTCTTCGTCAAGCCAGAGAAGGGGAACTCAAAGGAAAAGACGTGAAGGAGGTGACAGTGGAGCTGGCGGCGGGCACAGCACGGCTTTGGCAACACAAGAACACAAGGACGCTGCTGTCAGCGGAGAAGGTGGAGCCGATCGTGCCACTGGCGGGACTGGTGGAGATGGGCTACGGCATATCCTGGAACAATAAGGGATGTGTGGTGAAGCACCCGGCAAAGGGGGACATCAAGGTGGAGATGAAGAATGGGTGTCCAATGGTGCCGAGGAAGGAGGCGCCGACGACTCATCGGAGACTTGGAGCAGTTCCACTTGAACAGAGCAAAGATTTGCAGGTTGTCCTCGGCAGAATCAACGATGATGGAAAGGTGGAGGGCGAGATGGCCGGAAGTTCCTGTGGCGGGGTGGGAAATCATGGGAAGTGGTTTGGAGATGGTGGACATGAAGGGCACCTTCAAGCAGGACTTCCACAAGGTTCTTCCGTGGAACCGCAGGGCGAGGAGAAGGGTGGAACAGGCTCGTAGCGTGGTTCTGCACTTGTTCTCAGGAAAGGACCAGAGTTTTTGGCAGGATGCTGGTGAGGTGGTGCTTTGCCTGGATCTGCAGAAGGGCCAGGATGCTCTCAACCCGGCGGTGAAGGCCTATTTGTTCCAGCTCTGCATGGAGGGCAAGGTGACGGGAGTGGTCGGAGGACCGCCGTGCCGGTCGGTGTCGGTGTGCCGATATCAGCGTCCGGGGCCCGAACCGCTTCGGAGCCGTGGCGGAGGAGAGCGCTTCGGGTTGAAGGGGCTAGCTGCGGAGGCACAGATGAAGACCCACCAGGATTCAGCGCTGTGGTTGTTGCCCATGGTGCTGTTTGAGGTGACAAGGAGTGTGAGGGAAGAGAGGGGCTGGACTGCGGGGGGCGTGGATAGTATAGCCTTGAGAGCGACCCTCCGTAAAGCAGCCTATGAAGTGTGGAAGGTGGGGACCGTGGATGTGAAAACCGCGTTTCTCCAAGCACCGAATCGGAGGCAAAGACTGTTGGTGGTAACTCCGCCGAAGGTGTTTGGACAGGCTGGAATTACCAGGCCAGATGAGCGGTGGTTGGTCCTCAAGGCGCTCTACGGCTTGAACACTAGTCCAAAGGACTGGGGATGCCATCGTGACGAGACAATGAAGAAGTTCAGATGGTGGGTGAGCGGGAAGGAGTACAAGATGGCGGCCGTACAAGATGGACTTGCTGGAGGGGAACCTGTGGGCCATCAAGGAGGTAGAAGGGAGAAAGATCGTGGGAAACATCGTGGTGTATGTTGACGACATGCTGGTCGCAGCGGAAGACACGGTCATGAAGGGCTTCATGGATCGGCTTCAGCAGGAATGGAAAACGTCGCCTCCGGAAATGGTCAGTGGAAAGGAGCCGGTCGTCTTCTGCGGAGTGGAGATCTGTGAAAGAGAAGGTGGTTTCTGGTTGGGCCAATCGGCGTACATTCGGGACTTGGTGGAGAGACATCCAGATGTGAAGAATGTGGACGTCTAGCGGCGGATGGATTGACCAAACCGTTGGCGAAGATCCAGTTTGAGAAGTGCAGAGGAGGAATGGGCTTGGAGGTGATAGAGAGGAAGAAGGTCAAGAAGGTGTTTGGGGAGAAGGTCATCGAGAAGGTTGGAGCAGCAGGGTGGCTCGCGGTGGATAAGTTGAAGGCTGTCGTGGGCATGCTGAGTCTGGTGGCGGTGGCAAAGGCCGAAGATGGGGAGGAGCCGGAACTGGAGGGGGTGTCGCTGGAAGTTATCCTGACGGTGATCGCCATCCTGGTGGTAGTGATCTGGGAACTCACCAAGAAGGCGTGTGGTCTGGGAATGAAGAAATTGAAAAGACCGGTTGAAGACCCCGATAAAGAACTGGCAAGACCGCATGAAGAGGCCAAGAGCCCACCGAAAGAGACGGCGGAAGGCGGCTCCGTGAACATCAATGTTGCTAATAGAAAGAAGGGGCAAGTTGTTGGTGTTGACAGAGCTACCGGCAGCTCAAGAGACAAGGACTTGGGGACGGACAGGACAGGGACTGGAACTAGGCCCTGGACGGGTGCACCTTTGCCTAAGCAGGCACCCAAATCCTTGAAGGCGATCCGACCTCAGGCAAAGGCCTCGAGGGACGATCTGGTAGTAGTATGCCATGTGCGAGATGGGGCTGGAGGTCGAGTTCCGGTGCGGGCAACAAGAGCGGTGCTGGGGACGGAGAGGATGGAGTACTACCGCGAGATGGAAAGAAAGTCAGAAGAGCGGTGGGAGTTCCTTCAAGCTCGTGCTCGAGGTGAACCTCTTGGGGGTCTTCAAGGGAGCCTGTGGAGGGCCGATGTGCATTTGCGAGGAGGTCCCATCGAGGTGGTGGAGACGAGGAGCCAGCCGCCTGGGCAGAGCTCGGGTGAAGGAAGGTCTGCAGAGGCAGGCAATGCCATCGAGGAGGAGGAGAGTCAGCCGCGGGGGAGCTCATGCACAGCAAGAGCGGCGGCGGCTGGGAAGGTGGTGCTGGGCGAAGACAAGGAGAACAAGAAGGGCATGGAGATGCCGAAGTGAGGACCGCACGGTCCGGAGGCCGCTAGGCCGTTGTGGGTGCAATAGACACCCAGGGGAGTGTGAATCCCCGACTTTCATGGCTCAAGAAAAAGGAACCGTGCGGTTTAGCACTTGTACTTTCAAAGGGGCCATAGCCACTGCCCCGGTCTCCTGCGCGGTGCGGTCCTCCGAAACTGCGGGGGGCAGTTGACCCAAGAGCAGGTCGCAGAGGCCGTCGGGCGAGGGCTCCGCCTCCAAGAGGCAGCTGGAGGCCTAGCCCAAGTCAGCAGCTGGGTGACCGGGGGGTCGCTTGGTTGCTGCAACGGCCCCCCTGCAAGAAGTGTTTGGTAGAAAACACCTTTCTTTCCCAAAAAGTCAAAGTCTAAAGATCCGCTACCCAATAGAAGTCAAGGGTGTGACGAGACTTTTGGGTCTCGTCAAAACGAAGGAGCCACCCCAGATCGCCACCCACGGAAGGAACACGCGTCGCTTGTTTGCCAACTCAACGATAGAAGAGTAGGGGGAAGAGAAGGAGCATTCGACCTTGGTAGTATATGAGGCGTGTTTTATTGGATGACGCCAAAAGCAAGATAATTCTCCCTGCAAAAACCATGTGCATGCCCGGGCTGTGGGGCTTTGTTGCCCACTGTCACCTGCCCTCGCCTGCCCTCACCGGACCTTCAGAAGGCGATCACCTCAAAACACCATCGACTTTGGAGAACTGAGTTTGGCTTTTCCGGGCCTGGAACAAAAATTGACCAGAGTCCCCAAAGTGCCAGGAAGATGGTTGTAGTTTTCAACCTCTCCCATCAAAACCCGAGGGAAACCCGCAGAAAACTGATGGACACCCGCAGGAAACTGGCAGGAAACTGATGGGGTCCCGGCTCGCCTCCCTGCACCGCAACAGGTGCCGCAAGCCAGAGAAGAGGAAGCCCGAGTGCGCCAGGGACTCCAGGTGGCTCAGGGCCAAGATGGGGTTCGGCACAGGGGGCACCAGGTCCTGAGGGAGAGAAGCCTCGCTGGATCTATCAAAACGTCCTAAAAAGGACATGAGAAAACATAAAATCAAACAGACCTACAAACAAGTAAATACGTAACACATAAACAAGTAAATAAATAAACAAAGAAGTAAACCAGATAGATAATTTACATAACAAGTAACACAAATCAACTAAGTAAAACAAATAAATAATAGTTACAACAATAAATAGTTAACATAACAAGTAACAAAAGAGGGGGTCCAATGTTTATTTGGACGTCTTGTCAGCTCAGGTTTGACAGGGTGACGCGGCTTGTACCGGTGTGGAAAGAGGGTGTATGGGCAAAGGTTCCCAAGCAAACAGAACTAATTGTCAACCCTTGGACGAGATCCCTGGCATGATGAGTGCCCTGCAAATACGAATGAACAACAGTTTCAACCATGGTTTGAAAGTGGTGCAGGCAGGATTTCGTCCACCCACAGTATCACAGAAAGTGATAACCCAAAACCCTAGAAGCGCAACAGGATTTCTCCCAAACGGTTGATCAACTCACCGGGGTTCCGATGAACCTGCCACTTTGGCCCAATCGCAGGGTACGCCCAAAAAGACATATGCTCAACTGTCAAATGAACGCAGCATGGAGGGCACCTCTAAATTTGGGGTCCTCTCTTTAGAGAACCCCCCCCAACAAAAGGCGCGGCCTCTACTTGGTGTCTCCCCCAAAAAATGAAGAAAACAAAACGAAACTGGGGTTCTCTCCCCCCAACAGAAGGGGTGGCATCTCTCTTCGTGCTTCCCGAAAACCAAAAAAAAAACCGCAGAACACGCCCCCAGCTTGGGGCGCTTCGCGGCGACTCCCGACTCCGACTTCGCGGGCTCCGCGGGCTTCGCTCCTGGCGCAGGAAGCCCTCCCCCAGGTTCAGCGCCAGGCGATGGCCGCAGGCCTCCCGCACGCCTCGCGCGCGCTCAAGCGCTCGCGCTCCGGTGCGCGCGCGCGCGCGCGCGTTGCGCGGTGCGCCCATGGCGACCGCGAAGGCGGTCGGAAAAAAATATTGCGGAATGCGTCCCGTGGAGGAGAACGAGGACCGATTTGCTCTTGTTCAGTCGTGAAATCGATTTCCTTTTCGAAGAAAACAAGAGGGGACAGAAAAGAAGACTGACTGACATCGTCTCAAGCAAATGGAAGCTGGTGTGCAAATGTGTCCAAAACCACTACCCCAAAGCGTTGTAGAACAAAACGTGCGATCGGTTCGATCGAGAAATGGAATGAACGCTAACCATCCTAAGGGGACCCTGGGTTGATTCCCACATTCCCTATCATTATCGCACCAGCAAGAAAAGGTGAGATCACCGAGTCCCAGGAAAAACCCCTCAGAGGTGATCAACTGGGCTCTCAAACCCAGGGTTTTAAACGCCTCCCTGTTGCTTGCCAAAGCGGATTGGATTTGGTGGGGTGTTGATGAAATATCGGGAAATCCCTACGCACAGTAGGAAAACAGAGTCCGTGTTGGTTAACAAGCAAAGTTGTTCCCCTGACCAAACCGTGACCCACACCTGGGTACCCAGAAAATAACATGTTCCGACTCTGTTCCATATTTGGTCTATTTGCTCTAAGCTCACTTGCCAAGAAAATTTGGAGACCTCCACCCACCGGGTCGTCCGACAGAGGCGCTCTGCAGGTGCAAGCGCGAGGCCCAGCTGAAGCGGCAGCAACTGGGCGCCGGCAACAGGTCCACCGCCCCCAGCAGCCAAGCCTCACTCAGAGCCGGGGGGGGGGGGTGGTTGGTTCGCCCACCTCCCGAAAAACGAGGTGTAAAGGTCATGATTGACCTATGGGTTTAATGGCCAGCACCCCCAACCGCTGCTTTTTTGCCATACTTGGGATTGTGGACATGGGGAGAAGCAGTTGTTGGGGGTGCTGGGGAAAGCCAAATTCGTTTGATGCTCTCCTTTTGGGCGATTCGGTTTTTGAGATCAGACCGCCTTGTTTTGGGTGGGTTGGCCATTCCTAGAAGGATTCGCCAAACAACAAAGGGATTTAGATACTTAGAGATATTTACAGAGTGCCACTGAACAACTGGGTTTCTGGGGTCAACCCCCATCCATTGAGTCAAGGGTCTATTGAGACCCTTGTAGGCAACCGCAATTTTGAATGGAAGCAACCGCTACACGGGCTCAAACAATTAGAATGGAGTTGCGGGGCGCCATGAAACTCGATTCCCTCATCATGGGGAACTTTGTTTGTACTTGTTCAGTCTCTTGCATTAAGCACCATCGTGCTTGGTTGACGTTGTAAGGGGAGCAACAAATAAATTTTAGCAGTTAAGTGGGGATTCCCCACTGAACCACAATATGCAAAAATATAAAATGTTTCCCAACAACAAGCATGCTTGCACCACTCGGTGGTGTTTCCGCTTCGGGGCTACCTGGGTAGCGCCACCCTTTGGTGTCCATAAGGAGCTGAGGCTCGAATCCCCAAAGCACTACTCCAAACCGCTGAAGAGCCAGCTAAACTTCGGCCGTTTGATACCAAAGGCAGTTGAGAGAAGCAAAACAGGTTTATGGCTTCCGGGATCCTTGAACTGTCCAACTCAAACGGTATGTTAGCCAAAAAGGACCGTTTGATGCAGCCCCAACCAAATGAACAAATCCAACAAACAAACATATTCAAACATGCTCAGAACAGCGGGTGTAGCACTCACGCTTGCACCACCTGGAGTTCCCTCACACCCAACTGGCAGTCACGAGTGCCCATCTGGTTCCTACGTGCCCTTTACCCAAATGTCACTTGTCTCCTCAGGGCCTCTCAGAAAGGTGCCCTCCTAAGCTTCCTTTTGCTTCAGCCCCCTGGACCAAATATGAAATCGATTCCCTTTAAGACCAAAAAAGGGACAGCAACATCCACTTTTTGGCAAGAAGTGAGCTGACTTGAGCCCGACCTAACCTTTCTCCACTCCGAGCCGCCGGAGGACAACCACCTGGGACGCTGGCGACGGCAAGCAGCCACTCCTCCGACGAGCGCCCCACCGGCGCCTCACCTTTCGGATGCTTCCGCCGGCCCATGCGACGCAGCCCTCAGACATTGGGCAAAAGCGGCGAGTAGCAGCGTCTCTCCCTTCGAGGCTAGCTTTGTTCTCCAACCCAATGAGTGTGGCACCCAAAACCCCTTCTGAAGCTTGTGAAAAGGGTCCAGTTTCCCCAGAATGGGTTGTTTTTTCTACAGGCGTGGTGAGTTTCTCTAAAAACAGGCAGTAAAACAGGCACCCTCAAAAACACAACTCGAAAGCCTTGTGCGTTTCATTTCCTGATCTTCCCACGCTTTTGAGCCGGTGTGAGCCACCTGTCCTTTTAAAGGCCACTCACGCAAGCCGTCCATGCCATGCGTCCAGCAGGCAGGCCTACCTGTAGGCAAAGGGGAGAAGATCAGCAAGCTGGAACATGAGCTGGTACACACAAGCATTTTTTGAGAACCCCTCAAAAAATGTCAGAATGCAACCACTTAAAGGGACATAGTACTCCCTTCGCAACCCCTCCAAATGACAAAGCCTTACAGATTGGATTGCGAAGGTGTTTCAGTGCCTCCCACTTGCCCATGTTGACCCAGGATTCATCAAGTTCTGGTCCACGAATCCGAGGGCGTCCCCTTTGTGGGAGGATCCCTCACTTTGGAGGCGGCGGAACTAACCCAAGAAACCTGCGCCAGTGGCTTGCATCCAGAGTCAAAGTTGTCTTCAAGCACCTCTGAGCCCAACGTGGCCCCCCAAAAGCTGGACATATCTGGTAAGGCTATTAGGGGCGGCGTGCACTGTCACTATCACTTGAACCTATTTAACACCAGAGTCACATCATGTCCAATCGACTTTAAGGCGAGTTTCCAATTCTTGATCCATGTCCGACAAAAGTCCTTGACGGTGAGCCTTGTGAATGAGGTCCTCTGGTGGGAGGGGCGGGGTTGTGATTCAAACTCTCAGTGGGGGATCCACTTCAAAAGAAGATTTAGACAACTATTCATGGCTGGGGCAGAATGCCATGGGTTTCTTTTTCTGGCAACCCAAGAACTTGTCGTTCTCTAGGCCCGCCGCCAAGACTTGCTTCTGGCTCCCACCGCTGCCGCTTGGCAACTCGGCGACAGGATCAATCACGGGTTGCCCGGGCCCAGAGACAAAATGGCCATGACTCCTAAAACCGGTACCAAAATGGAACCCTGGTAAGTGGAAATATGGACCAAAAACCAGCGTAACCCCCCGTGTTTCATTTTGAGCCACACCCAAATGAAAACCTTGAGCAAAAGTGGGGGGTGCGGTTCTTGCGCGTGCCCGGGAGCAGGGAGGAGCGTCAAGAATTGGTGCAAGCCAAGCTTCTTTGCTGATGTGTTTGCTGAGCTGTTTGGCCGATGCCCTGCGGTGGCTCATTGGACCCGCCATTTTATACCCAACTCTCAAATGGCGAAGCAGGGCGAGCTTGGCATGGCATGCCATCAAGTCATGCAAAGCCGATGGGGCCCACTGCAGGTAGGCAAGGCTGACTGAATGGACTTGTTCCTGAACCCATTGCCATTGTAGGGCCTTTTGGTTGGTTGCCCATGCGAAACTGATGAGCAATTGACCCGTAAACAGGAATTCATGCGCAGGCGTCATATAGTTCGCACATTCAGCCTATACAGGTCCAAATGGAACATGGGAAAGCCTGAGGTTTGCAACGCAGCCTCGAGTTACATGACAACGATCCCCTCGGACCTATCTCGCCCCTGAAAACCTGACTGCCGTGCCTGCATTGCAAGGGAGCGTAAACCTGCTCGACACAAGTTCCTGGCTTGTAGGACCTCGTCCGTCACTGGTTTCCTGTTACACTCTCCAAAGCAGTCGCTTTACTTTCTGCGCTCTTGTGAGCGCGTTCCACACAAAAGCAAAAGGTCCACTAGAAGATTCCCAGGCAGGGTTCTGAGAATCGCCTGCTTCCCAATGCCACGGGGTGATTTCTTATTCAATAACTCTTCACCGACGCGGTCGGGGTACCCTGGAAGGAACTCCCGTAACCCGTTCCGACCAGACCTTCTGAGACCTTCTCAGAAAGATTGTACAGAAGTGGCATGGTGAATTCCAATCTTTCTTTTCACCCATCGCCCATTTTCGACACCACAGACATTCCCTGGTTTTGGACACTCCATTTCTGAAGGATCCCTGACTGGACGTGAAAAGTCATATTGGACCCGCTGTAGATGGGGCTGTGAGGAAGTCAGGGACTGTTTTGAGGAGTCCGCGAAAGAAACCCACGAATAAAAAGAAGAAGAACAAGAAACAAATAGCACCCCCAACAGCCCAGAACCCCCTGGAACCCTCCAGAACCCTCCCTGAAAGCTGCCCCACACCACCCTGGCAATAGATGCAACCATCTAGAATGGGTCCCGATTTGTTTTGGGTTTTTTTCCGGATTCTTCTTGGAACTGGCAGTTGCGATCTCCCTTGGTTCTGCAATTGGCAATGCGAAATTAAGTGCTGGGAATCTAAGACTTTTTTTGGTCTCGGTACTACTTGAGCACTGGCAATACTAATTGAGAACTGGCACCCTCTTCCACTTCAGAGGGGCTCAATAAGATTTTAGAGCAGGTCCAACATTGAAGCTGGAAGTGGGACCAACAACTTCTTTTCCACCGCAACGCAATCACAAGGGCAGAAAATAGTAGAATGGGTCGGGCACGTTGAAACCAATTTAAGCCATGGTCACAGGAGCTATATGCGAGCAATCCTAGCTGAACAAGAAAACAAACGGGCATATTGAAAACAACGCTGCTTCTGCTTCATATGAAGCCCACTCCAAAATAGAACATAGTTCTGGAGGAGACCCTTCTAGCTGTCCTTTTCGACATGTTGTTAATGACCCTGATAGATGGTGACAACCAACTTGACACCGGTGGAACCCATCTAGTTTCAACGAAACAAAACAAGGATACAAATTCTGCCCAAACCACGTTTAGTTTGCCCCCCAGTTGACAACGTGTAAACCTTTGAAAGCTTTCCCCCCGTTTAGCTACCCCTCACAGCATGCAAATGGAGGTGCGCCCTGCTTCGAAGGGCTCCCAAGGCAAACCTAAGCGGCGCTGAGGCAGGCACTGCAGAGGCGATGGTCGGATACAAGGCGGACCTGGCAGCCCAAAAGAAAAGCAGCGCCGGGTAGCCGTCAAGAGAAAGGTTCGGGACTCATCCATGGGAGGTAGCCCAAAGTCATTTGAACAACCTGTTGTTCCCCAAGGCAAAAAATGTACATATTTAAAAAATAGAAACACTCACACATATATATATATATAGATATATATATATATATAGTGTATCTATATTTTATTACTTATTACATGTGAGTGCATGCAAAAGGGAAGCCAGAATGAACCCATCCAAGGGGCGAAGAGTTGGACATCCCATGTAAGCCTCACGAACGGGCCCTTCGCTTGGGCAGGGCTAGACTTCGACCCGCGACGGTGTTGCATCTGTTTCGCTAGCCGCTAAGGGCAAATGAAGGAACTTCAAGGATCACAAGTTAAAACATAGGTGAGCACAAGTATGGCAATGAATAGACCAGAATGGATCACCAAATGCAAATCCCTATAAGATTTAGATTTCGTGGCGTCGATGAGTACCTTGCTCCCAAGTCTGGCGAGGGAGTGTCCCATTTGAGTTTCCACACGGTTGCTCCAAACCACTGGGCACAGGCCCAGCTCGAAGCAAGCATGTGGCAAGCGGTCAGAGAAGACCGTCATTTGTTGGCGTTCAAGGGGCGCCAACAAAGATAAACAACGGATTCTCAAACTGAGTTCTTGAAAAAAATCCCTCAGTTCATTCTAGAACCCTCTCCCAAAACCGCAATACCCATTTGGGCGTGTCTCTCTTGTTACAACTCGCCCCCCCCCAAAAAAAAGGAACAAGAGGAAATCAACAACGAAGAATGGTGACTTTCCAAAATGGGGGGGGGTGCCCCAAAAAAGGACAGACCCGTTTTGAGACGTAGCGCTTGTGGTCGGTTCCGCGCTGCTTCAGCTCCCCGGTTCAGATCAATCCGCCCGAGGCCGCCGCGGCACAGTCCTCACCTCCGTGGCGCCGGCGACCTCAGCGCAGCTCGACGCGCGCAGAGAGCAGCCAGCCGACACCCCATGCGGTTTTTCCTGTGTGGGTATGAACTTTGACATTTTCTCTCTCTCTCTCTCTGCCGTTGCGTCCAGAGGGTCTTGACTCAGCAAGGCAACGAAGAAGGTGCTCACTGATATTCAAGGAACTTGTTTTGCTTGCGCTCTCTTCAGCCTTGGAGCTAAGGACCCTTTGGTGGACATCATTAAGTGGTGATTTTTGTCCACCAACCACTTTTCAGGGGGAACTTCCCGTCAAATATTCATAGCCGTATCAACACCCGCCAGGAGTCAACTCCCTCAGTCCCTCTAGGTGGTTTGGAGCCGAATCCGTGGTTTGGTTGTGGGCTGGTTCCCACTTACCCACAAGAAAAAGGGGTTCAAATCCAAACCACCGATATCCAAACCATGAATTAATTACGGGTTACCTGAACAATATGAAAGGGGTTTCGCAGGTTTTGGTCTTTGATTCCGGTTACCAAGGTGCCACATGTTTGCGCTCACCAGTCAGCCATTGGGGGGTGCTAGATTGTTTTTGTCCCTGCCAGGGGCCTGGACACTTAGAGTATTTTCTTGTAGATGCAAGCCCTAACAATCCATTTCCCAACAACCAGGTTGCAAGACAAACATTAAGTGGCCACCACGGGGGGGGGGGATGAGGGTGAGAGTTTGTCTGAAATTAATCAACAAAGGTGCCCTTTATAGCCACTCGAGAAGGTCTCGGTTTGGAACCCAACCATTCCGGCGCCTTGTCAGCTGACGGCCACAAAACAACAACCCCCGCCCCCCAACCCACCCCCAAGGAAAAAGTCGTGAGTCTCCATACATTTGTCAGTGCACCTATACAAATGAACATGTATGGGAAATTGTTCTTGATTGAGGCTATGGCACCCCACCGCGCACCCCTTCAGGGCCGAGGATTGAAGCCGATACGTGCGAGATCTTGTTG